GTTGAGTAGTTGCTGTAAGCGTTTTTCGTCAGACTGCGAAGTACAGTGGATTATTGCGGCTTTTTTATCATAGGGGTCTGTTCCTGGTACGTTATCTATCAGGTCTCCAACTTCTGCTGACACTTTTATGGGTAATGCTCCAACGACGTATGCATATTTTGTCGCTTGCGAGCGTATACCTCACGACAAAAATAATGCCTCAACCTGTGCAAACCAGATCCTGGGATTATTAACACCGTACGTTTGTAATCTTAGTTCCGAAATAGCGTTGATTGATTTTAAAACATTATCTTCTGGCTGTGATTAATGAAAGGGGTTGGTTTATGGGCTATCTATATCAATAAGTTTATTAAGAGAGTTCATAATGCCAAAGACAAAAATGGTGTGTCATGCCAATTAATAATAATAATAACAATAATAAATATGTAGATATATATAATAGATGTCCATAAAAAATCGAGGCTCACCAAATAATTGTGGTGGACCAAACAGATATGATCGCAAAAAGTATAAACAAAGTTACTAAAGATCAACAGTAATATTAATATATACAGTTAATTGTTACAAATATAATAAAAAATAGGGACGTTACTTAAAATGACCCAACGTTGCGTGTTCTGATTAGGTCCAGTAATGTAACTCCACAATTATAAATGCTTGATGATTCTGAGCAGATTGGCGAAAACTCTAGTGATATAATCCCACGTAGAATGTGTTATATTTCAATTACAGTCCATAAATAATGATAACATTTGATTTAGATTTCAACTAACTCAATCACAAATGAAAATAGAACGAGGAATGTGTGAGAAGCAGTGTATTTGTTAGCCAGCAACGGTGTCACGCTATGTAGTAGCACAAAGGAAAGTGTGTTCAAGGTCATTTCCTAAAAAACAGTTACAGACATTCCATGCTGAATATATACATACAGTGGAAGGTTGACAAAATAAATAGAAATAACATTAAAAACTATTTACAAAACAAAATTGTCAGGCCTATCTCCACACACTCATCAGTTTTCTTTTCACTATTGATGTATGAACACAGCTGATACGTTGACGTGGTGGTTGGACTTGCCTGTCATGATGGCTCAATCAACCAACTAGACTTAAACCCAACAATCCCTAAACTTCACTTAAAATAATTGAGGTAGGATTTAGCTCTTTCGCTGTAAGACTGACGTGTGCTCCACTGTAGTCACCTCACATAACTTCGAAAGAATTAGGTTACATGAAGGTATTGAAACTGACTTTTTCATCAGAATCATCCATATACCTCGAGTGTGCTAATGATCAGACGCTGCATCGTCAAAACACCAAGGACTGTAAGAAGTAAACAACTATCCAGTCGATTGGTTTAACTCGACTGGTTTTGTGTAAGTGTTTGACTAGTTGTTAGATGCCTGTTCCTTAAACTTCTGATATCAAGTCAGAAGTTAAGACTTCTACTGCTCTTTGGGCATAGGCTCCCGATCAGGAGTGTCCTGACAAATCCAATTTCCTCTCCAAAACAATGAAAATTCGGAAAGACAGTGATACATATCTTTGCCTCGTCGTTGTCTCTCTCTGTGATAGTAAAAATAAATATTTATTCAAGATGATAGTGGCTAAACTAAATACTGGATCGAAGGTTCGTGATTACCTTTGGTGGCTGAAGTCACATAAACATAAAAAGCATAGTAATTTCATCTTGCCGAAAATGTTTAATATGATCAATTTGCACAAAGCTCTCAATATTTTTAGAAAACTGTATGATTCACAGTCATGAGATCTCAGTGTTCGTTATAGTTATCTACAAATACCAAAGGAATACGATGATATCTTGTTTATTCGGACAAAGCAAATGTCACACACGAAATGTTAGACGTGGTTTCAGAAATTAAAAGTCAGCTCAATTGCAATATACTCGTATGTAGGATACAGTGGCCTAGTGAGTATGAACCATGTACAAATTTCCCGTTCAAATGCTTTGGAGACAAAACGATCCTACATGAGTCACATGCATTGTTACTGAAATGTCGAAACATAACATTTACGTATTCGTATTGTGAGTGAAATATTGACGAATTTTTGTTATGAAAGGTGGGGAAATTGCTGTATATAATGTATACTCATACTGGTCAACATCATAAAAAAGGGCATTTCAAAATTTTTGTATACACACGCGTTCCAATAGACCCTTCATGGAAAACATACTCCAACGTATTCCACTGAGAAGGAGAGCTGATATGATGGGAATAAAAAGCTAAGTTACATTATTTTTCTCATTGTGATTATTATTCAACATTGCTTATGTAGCGGTAAATAAATCCACAAACTAAATAGCTCTGTAAGTTTTCGACATTGGACGCTGACCATATGTTTGAGTGCACTCATCTAGCTGAAGGCGCTCGTTCATGCATCCGCACCAGATCACGTGTGGTAACGCTGTGCTCAACATCTTCCGCAATCGCTAGCCAGATTAGATCAGAGATCTTCCGATATATTGGTTATCGTCAAATACACTCTTCCGATCTCCTCGACTCTGTCTTTTGATTTCTCTCGCTGGGAACAAAGTATATTAGAAGGTGTTACTGGTAGAAGCGTTGTCAAACACTGAATACCTGAATCATCATTATTTCCGTTTTAATTCAATGTTATAATTACTCAATATAGTATTTGTTATGCTTTTTTGTATGGTATTTTATTCTGTAGAACATTAATTTGAGTGTGACGTTTGTTCAAGATACGATAATCTTGCATTAAATTAACATGAACTGTGATCAGCATGACATGTAGCATGTGATTTGTTATTTCTGTCAGTGTTTTTACCTTATGTGATTTCGTCCTAATTAATAATGAAAATGGGTTTAGCATCAATATATAAACGAGTGTATTTCCGACTAGGGTCGTCGTCGTGTTTTGAGATTAACTAACCTCCACTCGTAAATTCTGTGGACTCCTCAGTGATGAACCATACACGAATAAAAATAATTGCTGTTGAATCCTTTACACTTGCATGCGCGCTTACTGTGAATCCCAGATATAGTAAGTTTAGTAGTGCTCATCTAGATCTACCAGCTCTAAATTGCACCAATTCGGGAATCTTTTGTTGGAGTAATAATTCGAATATCTTTAATCATCACAAATATCCCGATCTCCAAATTTTCGGTAAGACGCTATTGAAAATTTTGAGAAAACGGCACCAAAACCCCAAAATTTAGGCTGGTAATAGAAGAAAATATAATGTATATGAATAAAAGTCACACGAGGATAATCACGTCTATAAGGACATGACTCTACAATAATTTGAATTTCGTATGAATTTCCTCGCGTTCACCACCAGTGACCTTCTCTCAGTGTTGCGTGTTGAAAGTCTTTTTTCGCGGTAACCTCATGCTCAACTATCAGGATTGTGGTTACGATACGATGCCACTACATGTCTTCGTTCATCGCGACCCACTTCGGCGACATCCATAAACAGCATACAAAGGACCCTTCGAAGTTCTTCAGCATGAAACTAAGTACTGTACCATCGAGAAGAACGACACTAACAATAGCATCAGCATCGATCGCCTCACAGTCGCGTATTACAAAAGAAACCCTGTTGATGCTGATTTTCCTACACTAAATTCGAAAGTCACGATTCTCACAATTACGATTTTTTACCTGATAATCAACAACCACGACAACACTTCGGTAGTATCTAATAACTGCTTCAAAAGAACGTGTTCTGAAAGAAGCATAAGGTTTCCTGAGCATCTTAACGATGATCACACGCAAGATACAGCATAACTCTTCGTTTCGTCTAGGGTTATTTTGCATAATTGTGACACAAAACAAACTATTTTTAATGCGCTCATATATATATTTATTTTTCAATTCCAAAAAACAAATGATTTTGTTCTTGATACGCTCGCTTATATGTGTATATTTTTATTTTTTCAAAATAAACGGAAAATCACTGTACGAAAATCTATTCTACGCCTCTGCATGTTTGTAAAATGCATGTACATGTGTTTATTTTACTTTTAGCAAGCTATCAGAAGTGTTCGCCAACGACAAACTCCTTAGGATCACTTTTTTGTCTGGCCGCGTCTTAGGGTCATCACTAAGTCTCTAGGATAGAGCGATCTGTAGTGGTAAATAAATACCCAAAATCCATAGTCTTCAACATCTGATGCTGACCACATCAGTTTTAATGAGCTCAGCTAGCTGAAGGCGTTCAGTCACTCATCCGCACCAGACCACGAGTGGGCACTCTGTGCTCAACTTTTACTACAACTGCGAACCAGTCACTCCTCAACATGTCGATAGTTTATCAAACACAACTTCGAACCGCCTTGTTCCTGACATTTGATTTCACTGGGTTGGCACGTTTCGATTATAGAAGGTGTTACTGGTTAAATTGTTGTCAAACTTCAAATACTTGTGACATCATGTAAAACATAGCACAAACCTACACGCAAATAAATACGCGGTTCTATTTTGCAAACTGCGGAAGCCCCAATAGGTGGTTAGGGTAACAGCATCCTATTTTGAATCATTCGAGAGATGGCTTGAAAATTGTAATGACATAGTAAGTTCTTATAGGGGATTGATAGAACACATCTACTGTTGAGTAAATGGTTTTGTTCTTCAGTTTATAAAAGCGATACAACAAGTATCACATCCTTATGTAATATGGAACACACTTCAACAACTCAGGTGTAGATAACAAGAAACAAGTAGTTTTCTACTACTGTCAAGCAATGTTGAAATTAATGAATGAGATGTTTATAAGTTTGTGAAGGACTCCGATAGCAAAATTTTCATTCAAGATATAACAATACACACCGTTAGTAATGATATATCATCAAAATACCAACACAAGGAAGCTATAACGCATAACTCTTACACCTAGGCGGTGTATCAAATAAATACTGAATGTAAATGAGATTACATATAGGATGTTACAAGTAAAGAAAAATGACTTTTTTATTTTGTCTATACAAAAATCCTTGAATATGCATGTCACGTTTTATGAAAGAGCGCGTGTTCTAGTCTTGTACGTTACAACTTGTGTTTTGCCGTCACATTGGGTTAAAAACGTCATTTTAGCACTTCTAGCTGTGACTGTTGAGTTACTTCAATCACAGCCGGGGTATTATTGATTTGTTCCCTTGTTAAATGCAGGTTTATTCTATGTGCTTATTAAGTCGTTAGCTCGCGTTCTAGATCAAGCTTGATCATCTTTCCCAGCTTCCATCGAGTGGGCTCTCCTGATTACTCCTTCTGCTCATTCAACGCTCTCAGGCTAGTGACGAACCGCTGTGCTGACATATTCCTGAAGCTGATTTTCATTTTTGTACTGAATTGGCGTTGACATCAATAGTTCACAAACTGTTTGCATTGTAATAAGTAAGTCTATTCCACGTATCCACTCAGTCATCCTCTCATGTCTTTCACGATTGCTCTCACTTAAATTGTATGTGAGTTCCAGTTTACAGCAACCAACAGCAATATATTTCTAGACTAGACTTGAACTTAACACTGCCTGAACGTCACTTCAGATGATGGAGGTAGGATTTAGTACTTTCACCGTAAGTCTGACGTGTGGATCACTGTAGCCACTTCGCATGCAGTCGAAAAAAGTAGTTACAGTAATTGAAGCTCACTTTCTTCAGAATCATCTAAATCCCAATCTCTCAAGTGTGGGGAAGTTTTGGGAAAACCTCTAAAGTGAAATCAACTTCACCAAGGTTGAGGAGAAATATTGGGAAATTTCCCCAGATCTCGTGCCATTTCCTCAAGCCTTTCGATAACGTCTTGTCGAAAATTCGGAGATCCGGATACTTGTGATAATTAAAGATATTCGAATTATTACTCCAACAAAAGATTCCCGAATTGGTGCAATTTAGAGCTGGTAGATCTAGATGAGCACTACTAAACTTACTATATCTGGGATTCACAGTAAGCGCGCATGCAAGTGTAAAGGATTCATCAGCAATTATTTTTATTCGTGTATGGTTCATCACTGAGTAGCTCACAGAATTTACAGTCAGTGGAAATAAATCTTCGAACACTCATCAGTTTTCTCTCCACTATTGATGTATGAACACAGCTGATATGTTGACGTGGTGGTTGGACTTGCCTGTCATGATGGCTCAATCAACCAACTAGACTTAAACCCAACAATCCCTGAACTTCACTTAAAATAATTGAGGTAGGATTTAGCTCTTTCGCTGTAAGACTGACGTGTGCTCCACTGTAGTCACCTCACATAACTTCGAAAGAATTAGGTTACATGAAGGTATTGAAACTGACTTTTTCATCAGAATCATCCATATACCTCGAGTGTGCTAATGATCAGACGCTGCATCGTCAAAACACCAAGGACTGTAAGAAGTAAACAACTATCCAGTCGATTGGTTTAACTCGACTGGTTTTGTGTAAGTGTTTGACTAGTTGTTAGATGCCTGTTCCTTAAACTTCTGATATCAAGTCAGAAGTTAAGAATTCTACTGCTCTTTGGGCATAGGCTCCCGATCAGGAGTGTCCTGACAACTCCAAAACAATGAGAATTCGGAAAGACGAGTATGATGGTATTAAAAAGCTAAATTACATTATTTTTCTCATTGTGATTATTATTCAACATTGCTTCCGTTTTAATTCAATGTGATAATTACTCAATATAGTATTTGTTATGCTTTTTTGTATGGTATTTTATTCTGTAGAACATTAATTTGAGTGTGACGTTTGTTCAAGATACGATAATCTTGCATTAAATTAACATGAACTGTGATCAGCATGACATGTAGCATGTGATTTGTTATTTCTGTCAGTGTTTTTACCTTATGTGATTTCGTCCTAATTAATAATGAAAATGGGTTTAGCATCAATATATAAACGAGTGTATTTCCGACTAGGGTCGTCGTCGTGTTTTGAGATTAATTAACCTCCACTCGTAAATTCTGTGGACTCCTCAGTGATGAACCATACACGAATAAAAATAATTGCTGTTGAATCCTTTACACTTGCATGCGCGCTTACTGTGAATCCCAGATATAGTAAGTTTAGTAGTGCTCATCTAGATCTACCAGCTCTAAATTGCACCAATTCGGGAATCTTTTGTTGGAGTAATAATTCGAATATCTTTAATTATCGCAAATATCCCGATCTCCAAATTTTCGGTAAGACGCTATTGAAAATTTTGAGAAAACGGCACCAAAACCCCAAAATTTAGGCTGGTAATAGAAGAAAATATAATGTATATGAATAAAAGTCACACGAGAATAATCATGTCTATAAGGACATTCGCTTTTTTCCCTCCCATTTTCGTAAAGACCTACTCTACGAGAAGGCATTGAGGAAGACTTCCCTGGCAGAGGCTTTATACGCGTGGCCACGTGAAAGCATTTCGAAAGGATGAGAGGACTCTCCCCACTTTCGGCCGTACCAGGGCACTTGGGGGCAAAGCAGCATCAATATATAAACGAGTGTATATCCGACTAGGGTCGTCGTCGTGTTTTGGGATTCATAAACCTCCACTTGTATCAGTCTTAATGTTCTTACTCCATGTTGTAGGAATTGCAGCGGTTCCTCGTTTTAAAAGTATAAGTAATGAGCGACTTTGACATAAAAATATGTGATGGCCAATCATAACACATCTAACTGATATTAGAAGACAAAGATTATCAGAACTATGTGATATATTAGCGCAATACATTTCGAACAATCTGGTCACACATATACTTGTTAAGAGCATTTATATATAAAAATAAAAGGTCAACTAGACAGGAAACGGGGTAAGAGGAGATAAGGATAATGATAAGAGTAGTAATAATAATGTGAACACAAAGCGAAACCTAATCACTCTGGATAATAAGTCAATATTACTAGAGTAGGTTTAAGGTAAGAACAAACTGTTTTTCAACACATAAAGGGGGTTTGAATTTTCGTATGGCTAAGGCTTCAATAAACCTTAGTATACAGTTTTTTTTGTATTTGCTACTGCCTTTTCGTTCGTTGTTCAGTAAGTAACTTGTTGAAATACCTTGTGCTGAGAATTCTATATTGTACCAAAATATAATATTAAGCCATTAATAATAAAAAAATATACCCCGTTTCCTGTCTAGTTGACCTTTTATTTTTATATATAAATGCTCTTAACAAGTATATGTGTGACCAGATTGTTCGAAATGTATTGTGCTAATATATCACATAGTTCTGATAATCTTCGTCTTCTAATATCATTATCGAAATTTATCAAAGGGACTAATTGTTTTAAACATCTAACTGACTTCTTTCGGCCTAGTTTTTAACTGATGCAAACAAATTGAAAAGTAGAAAGCATTTGAGATGTGGAAGAGTCATGAAGTTGTAAAGGACAATTGATGGAAGATTTTTAAATGATGTATGTAATGTATGGTTTTCACATTTTAAAATAAAGTGATTGTCCCCACTAGAATGTCCCTTCACCACCGTAGTATTAGAAGTGGCTTTTATTTAAATTTACTTCTGCCAAAAAAAGTTTTTAATCGCTAAAGGAATGAAAATAGTACTCTATATTCTATACTTAAATATGGCATCAAAATACTCAAACCATCAAAACTTTTTAATAATCAACCTTCAAGTTTTATTGACATTATCCAGAACTGCAATTCAGTATTTCCTCTACTCTTCTTTCTTATTCATTCTGTTTGTTATAATTTTTCAACTATTTCCTTTTGCTCTCGCATTGTCTATGGATCATATCTATATACCATTGTTAAGCTGAGTCATATTTTCAGTCATACATTACAAATCACTGTCTTTAGTGTTTTAAATCTTATAAAACTGAACTTCAATGGTATCAGGTAACAGTTTAGTTTATGTATTAAACCAAGTTAACTTGGTGGTGAAATGTACTTGTTCAACAGTGGCCACTGACACTGTTTAAAGTACTTAGACTGAATAAAGTGAAATAAGATTTGTGTCTGTTTTCGTAGATGGAAGTGAAGTGTCTCGATCATTGAATCATATGTAAATTAATAATAAGATCATACAACATTATTTTAGACTGGAAAACATAAGTTCATACAACAGTTGTTTCGCCTTTTATTTTAGCTCATCAACATAGCATACAGATAACCTTCAGGTCTCGCAATGATTAAGATACAGTGCAGTGAGAGTGCAAATACAATAATCTAGATTTTTTAGCATCAGTCAATTTACGATATAGGGTAACATTCACTCAATCTTATCGATGGTCAACTGATATGCTACCTATATGATCAACTTTACAAGTAGTCGCGTCCTGTTGGAATTTCGGTAAATGTACCTTTTAGATATATTTTGTGATAACGGCTCGACGATTGGATACGCATAGAAACTATGAAGTTTCATTTAGTTCAAATTAAAAATATCACTAATGAAATTCTGTTCGCCATGTAGTATATATTAAAAATTAAAAAATTACCACGATATTTTGCAACATGGTGAGACTTCACTTCAAGCAAAATTAAAAACGAAACAACTCTTGAAATTTGATTCGTCTTATTAAATGAGTAGTTAACAATGGAAGAGTTATGAATTCTTTAGGTAGGTTATCCTGAACCATCACACATCAACAAAACTGCGTTACGTTCAGACCACTTAGTATGTATTCAGTAGTCTATAACCTACATTTAAAATCCATAAGCTTATTATTTTGTTGGTGATAAATACCTGATGGAAGGTCTGTGTGCGTTGTTTCGATCTCCGGAGAATTTGGTGGCATTGGTCTATTCAAGAGCTCTCCAAGGAGTCCTGCTTAGATGTTTTGGCAATCTTGACAAACATTGACCGGTTCTTCTTTCTTGTTATTGACTAGTCGCTTTGGTCTACTATATTTCCCTGTAAGTGTTTTGGCTGTGTCACATAGTTCCCCCGTAATTTTTTATCTTGAAGCTCATTTTGCTGTAGTTGTCAGGTCTTTTGTACATTTCCGCTTGTCAGCTTGAGTACTCTTCTTCACTCGTTTGTTTGCTACTGTATATTTCGCATGTCTTGGCCTTCTCTGCTGTTGTTGGCTGCTGTCTTCTTGTTTCTCCTTGAATCCTGGTCAGGCTGTTTACTAAGACCCTTTCCTTATCCTGGTGCTTCTTGAGACCCAGCATCTCTCGGTATTTCGAAGTTATTGTTTCTTTAATCCATTTCCAATTGTTCCCCATAATAGTTTTCTTTTCTAATAGATTGTGTAAGGCTTAGAACGTTTTTCTGAGATCAATCTTGAACTCAATGAGCTTGTTAGTATCTCCAAGGAAGGCTGTATCAAACTTTTGTGGTATCGCTTGTCCAATGCTTTTTTAGCTTCAGCTTGCTTGGTCACCACTAGGCGGTGATCTGAAGCCATGTCAGCTCCTCTCTTTGTTATTACGTTTCCAGCTAATCTCCCGAATGTCTTACGCATATATATGTGCCCAATCTGGTTTTCCGCAGTGTGCTCTGGTGAGACCGTGTAGGTTTGTGGGGAAAATTACTACCGCCTCTGATCACGTTGTTGAAAGCATACAGATCTACCAGTCCCTCACCATTCTCTTTCCATTCTTCTACTCCATGTGGCCATTAGGTTTGTTCTCAATCGGTAGTGCAGATACCGACCATAGCTTTCAGGTCCCCCATAAGGATGGTTAGGTGTGTTCCTAGGCATCAATCTAGGGTGAACTGCAGCCTCTCAACAAACTGGCCTTTATCACCTTCTGTGCCATCATTTATGAGCGAATAGCACCGAATAGAATTCACTGCAATCCTTTACTTCTCTGTTTCAAGGATGCCTCGATGATCCTGGAACCGTAGGTTTCCCATCCCGTAAGTGCTTCTCGTCCTTCTTTTGACAGCACCAGTACAACTTGAGCATTTAGGGCATTTTCTTCTTCATGATCAGAATACAACAACATCTTCCTTGGCGCCGTTATTTTTGTTCAGATTGTGTCTGATGGGCTTCAGTTATTCCAAACACGATCAAGTTGTATCTTTCCATTTCCGTCACTGTTTAAATGGTTGTCCCAGTCCACCACATCGTCCGAACATTCCACGTGCCTATATTAATTGTTGCTCTGGTTTTCATAAGGCGTATCGACCTCGTGATTTTCGAAGAGAATCTCGGCTTCCACCATGAATCACCATCCTCTATATGAAGACCCTTTAACTATCAATGCAGAGTTTAAATGGCTTAAACGATCTTTTCCGGTGAGGTTCTTTCTAGACGTGAAGTTGGTAACCCTTCTCTCTCATCTGCGCTTAGGTGGAGCAGTGACCATAGAGGGGCTACTGGTGGGGTCGGAGCCACGGTCATTATGAGTATGATATGCCACGACCTCTATCCACTAGTGTTTCAGTTAAAACTCGGTTCTGCCAGCCCTTTTGATTGGCGAGATGATGTCAGTAACTCTTAAACCACTCCAGCCGAGTACAGATTTTTTTTGGTTAGCGCGTGTTACGCTTGCTTAACCACTAGCTACTCTGACGTTTGACACGAAAGTAGGCTGGAAGAAGCTTGGAGTATCCGATTCAAGAAGTAACATCAGTTAATGATGTCATCGACTGTTGATGGAATCCAAATCAACAGGTCTCGACCTCCTGATTGGAGCTCATACAACACTGGTAATCAGGGGTTGAAGACAGGTGACTTGGCACAAATCAGTCGTGATAGATCATTATATGTGAGTTGCTTTCTAAATTTTAGGATAGATACCATTATTAGCCTTCATTGGAACAGTATATTTCATGTTTAGATCTCCATTGATTCTACTTTACACTTCTTTTTGTCCTCTTTCCTCTTATTTTCGTCAAATGTCCCGACCGTAGCTGCTATCTTGTGTTCATGGTCTAGCTTGCCCATTGTGATCACTCAACCATGATATATCGGCCGGAATACGTATGCCTTTAAATCCCATCATATCAGCCAGGTCGGTTGTAGAGTAGTAGGATTAGGAGAAGTAACTCAAATCTCGAGGGCAAAGTCGTACTGCTGACTGTGGAAGGATGTGACTTTAGAGAGGTGTTTCCTTTGAACAAATAGCACCTTCAGAGATGTTTACTCACAAGGAAGTTAAGGGTTAGGAAAGATCGACCTTAACACTGTCAAACCTCACTTTACACTACGACGGTCAAAGATCAAAAGCTTCCCATAGAAACGCCGTTCGAGACCGGCCGCAAGCAGTTGTCCCTTGAACTTTGGTCACGATTCCTGGTCGCTAAATCCACTAATAATCTGGGCTTATTCCAGATCTGAAGGTGGATGCATAAATCAATGATTCACCCTTTTGCACGTTTTGGAAAATAGACGTACTTCTCGACGTCCGACTATCGTTGTATTCCTTTACCTTGTGGAGGAGTAATTAGTTATTCCAAGTGGTGTCCTTCAAGTTTGTTTGCTTTTCCCATTTTTATTTAACTTTTTCATAGACATGCTCTTAGAGATAACACTTTCGCAGTCTTACTTTAAAAGAGTTGATCTTCTACCAGAAGATTCACTTGTTGACTTGGAATACGCAGATAATATAATTCTGTTCGGTGAAAACGATGACAGAATACAGAGTCTTCCGACCAGCTTAAGCAACAATGCAACCATGTTTGGGATGCGGTTACCTTCCCTCCAAATGCACCTAAATTATTGATAGGGATTGAAGTGGTTGGATGCATCGACTGCTCCACTTATCTTAAGAGTCTCAATGATCTACTGTCTGATAAAATCTCGGCACGGACTTAGAAGTCTTGATTAGTTTTTGTCTACTTGCATCACTTGTGGCGTGGGCGAGATATCCGTTTGCAAACCAAAGGGCGTGTTTACGTAGTAGCAATTTACTCCGTGTGAAAGAAGCACATTAAGAATAGAGGATATGTATAGGTAGCTAGTATTCGACCATAGGTTTCTTCGAACAATTGCTCGTGAAATTTCGGACCGCTAAGTAATCATTGTCTGGGTTAGAAACTGTTCACTTCTTATGTGGTTTATTGGCCTTAACAACGCTGGTGTCGGCATATTAAGTATTACCTATAGAAGCTGCACTTAATTGTTTACTCCCGTTACTCTTTATGGGGCAGCTTTGGCCGTCCATCAGAATTCTCCATCAAACTATGTCCTGGACAATCCTTTCCAGTTGCTACTCATCCTTTTCATGTCTGTTTCCAATTCTCAACACAGTGTTCATTTGCTTAAATCCTTTACGTTTCCCTTCAGGATTCAAAGTTATCACTTGTTACAGTTTGATTATTCCCGCAATTTATTTCCTATCCGCTTCAAGAGTCTTTTCCTAATTTCCTCTTCAACTGGAAGCTGGTTTGTTTTCTTCCAAAGTTGGCTATTACTGATTGTTTCCGGTCGACGAACTTTGAGCATCTTTCACAAAATTGTTTAGAAGCACGTGTACGTTTTTGTACTGCACTTACAACGTACAATCTAAATTTAAAGATAATAATTATATAGACATCTATGGTGTTTAAATAGTATAAAAGAGACTAGGTCGGAGAGCTTAGCGAATGCAAACATCCTCAGTCGACGAATCGGAATAGTGTAGCTTATCTTGTCATTGTGTCGCTGATCCTTCTTTCCGTTCACCGTTTTAGGTGATCTCTTAATCACTTCAAATATAACGGATTTGGCCTGACAATTTCATCGCTGCGCTAATGGTAATAGCAACTTGAACCGATGAACATACGTACGAGGTTCCACGTTGCGACTGACTGATGCGAAATGTGACGACTTGTACTGATGGACACGTACGAAGTCGTAAGTAAATGATGACTGACTTACCTGGTCGGACGATTTTATCCGAACTTTCAGCCGATATTTGTATGCATGGAACCTATGTTACATCAATTTAAGGAAATTTGTATTTTTTACTTACATTGAGCGTGACTCAAAGCCGTGTTTATGAATTGATACTTTGTCACTGAGTCGCATCTACGATGATATTTTGATTATACGCCATTGAAAATGTTGCAACTTAATCTAGATCAGTATTCAGTTATTTGTTCATTTCAAGGTACACAGGACATTTAGTAATTGTACCAAATAAGAACAAAATATATATTTGTATTTGGTATTTGTAAGGACGTGTTTGCGTCAATGAAGGCGTTAATTTATTTTTATTCAATAAAAATGGTTCGCATTATCATTTTACGGTATCCAAAACTAATAAACAGAGCTCATTCTTTACTTGCAGATTAGATTTTGAATATGTCTGAAAAGAAACGAAAGCAGCGGTTGGCTGGTGATAAACTCAATGAAAACCCACTGAAGCCTACACTAGAAGAAATCGATGTTGCGAATTACTTACATAAAAAGCTACCATCTAAAGAAGGGCGTCTCTCAGGAATGATTGTTCGCACATTCGTAGCAATGGAAGCCATAGAGTTACTGATGAATTCCCATTGGGCTAGACCAAATGACGATGCGAAACCAACTCTTTTTACAAGTCAAACTACTGCAGTTAATTTCATGACAACTTTGTTTCAGAAGCAAATGTTTCAGCGGTATCTAAACACGTGAAGTGTTCATAATCTTTATTTTAGTGCAGTTCGTGTCAAGAAAAAGTCCACTAAACACCGAGAAGATGCGAAATCATTGAAGCCTAAACTGAAAAGGCTTACTGATGGAAAGGTTGTCACCAGTAAAAATGTTGTCGACGCGACTTCAGATGAAAATGTAGGTACTTGAATTTACTTAAAATTTCTATATATAGTTCATAGCCGGTTACAGTGGTGGGAATACATCCATTCATCATGTGTTTTTTCCGTTTTAAGGGTCATGTTATTCTAAAACCCTTATTTCCAATCATGGTTTTATGCACTAACTAGTCTATTCATCACCTTTCTGCTTGTCGATTTCTCTCGATACTTATATGAACTTTAGTGATGCGAACCGGCACATATCTCAGATGAGCCCCACGCTTTATATCCAACTGTCTGTTATTGAAATAAGTCAGCACAGCATCATCACATACACAAACTTTACACTTCCTTTCACCAAATACATCCCATATCAGCTATGCTGGTGTGTTTTAAGCTTTCGTGGCCATATCTTATAAGTTGTTTGTGATTGCGTGTAGGAATGCATTAACCAGGCATATAATTTCTCAATTGTTCAAATACCTGTTGCTACTTATATCGTTGGAAAGTTGTTATGCCCCCAAACCGCCAATCAGAAGCAGCGAATTATCGATCAGACCAAACACGTGCGAGCAGCCTGGAGCCCTGATTGGTTCTGCTTTCCGCCTAGCCCAGCCAGTTAAGTCCAGAACACCATTTTCAGCCTCTGCAATATGAATCCTTATATATCAAACATACTGAGTTTATATTACCAATCAAGCAGACCAGAACGTAGCACAAAATAGAAAATAACATTTGTACAAAATTTGGCCAAATTTGGGAGGCAGTGACTAATAGGGCATAATTCAAAAATGGTAAAACGTATAATAATAGTTCGGAGGTCACAATAAATTTTATAATAAGAGGAATATGAACAGTTTAGTTATTTAACAACTATACGATAAAAATATACGTTTAGTATTGGTCCATAAAAGGATTCCATATTTACCATTCATTATGTTTATCGGGACCTAACAAAAGTGAACAATACTGACTTCGTTCTAGAGCTCACGGTATGGCATTCGAGATTGTAGTATAATTGTTCAAATTGCCACATTTTCCAATAAAATTGTATCTGAAGGTAGAATAAATGAAAATAATGATAACATCATCAATGAAGATGAAGACAGATAGTTTGTACGGAAGATAAAAGTATGTCAAGTGAAATTATGCCCATTTACAACTAATCCATAAATGCATCTATGCCATTTCGGCAAATTTCAAAATAATTCGTATTAAGTGTCAACTCAACGGTGTTTACTTCATGAATCTCAAGTGAGTGGGTGAGACAAAGATAATAAAAGTACCGAAATGATATAAACTTATTGATCGTAAGTTTTTTCATGTGTATGATAGGCGCTTCCTAGAGGGAAATAATTTATATAAATTGCAACCACTTTATTTAGATTTATAAATTGTAAAATTCTATGGAAGGTTACAACAACCCAGTCACCAAACTTTCCGTAAATAAATGGTGTGTTTTGATCTTGTCATCCTGGTATTTCCATTTTACACTTAACCCCAATTGGCACAGCGAGTTAAGCTAAACAGTTACCAAGTTTACATTGGCATGTACAATACACTACTAAATGCAGACACACAATCTCAGTTCATTTATCTAGTATTTTATGTATTGAAAATTTATGTTTTCAGGATGTTGAATAATATCAAGTGATTAAATTACTATTGGAAATTTTATATGCAATTGTCAAATAAAGTATTTCTTTTGTTTCCCTTTCAATAATAGTTGAGTTCTCAAGATCATGATTCTAAATCGTCCAAATTTGGTATTTTCTCATCCATCTCTTCCAGTATTAACGAATTCACAATGAAATCTCCCAATAAGAAACCCATGCGACTAGAAATTGTGGACGAGCAAAAATTTGTACTTGATGATCCACAAACATTTTATGTTTGGATCTATGAACCACCACCGGGACTTTTTACATGGTTGGCTGGTGCAGCTTTAATTATTGGGATTATACTATGTTGTTTATTTCCTATCTGGCCATCAGAATTACGCCAGGGTGCATATTATTTGACTATAACTGCTTCAGGACTTTTAGGTCTTTTACTTTTCGTAGGATTATTGCGTTTCTGTTTTTATTTGCTTGTCTGGTTATCTACTTTAGGTCAATACAGTTTTTGGATATTTCCTAATTATTTTGAAGATTGTGGTTTCTTCGAGTCATTTCGTCCATTGTATTCACTTAAGCATGCATCTGATGTTCTAGCACCATCAAACAAGAGAAGCAAATCGAAAGTAAAGTCAATTAGTGACGCTAATATTGTCCAATTATTATGTACAAAATCACCTGAGGAGGTTAAAGTGAGAAATGTGTTAAAGAAAGATATAATAATCAATGAATAAATATATTCCTATTTACTTCATTTTTTTCCTTATTTTCCCTTTCAATGTTATCATGATAAATGTATTGCACTCTTATCATTGGTATGCTTATTGCAACATTATTCATCTATGTGAAAATTATATTTGAAATATTCTCAGCGATTGAAATTTAACTAACTTCAACGTTTCGTCCAGCTAACTTGTCTGGACTTCATCTATATTTTTAATTCATATTTCAGCTGAATAGATGTTTTTTGTAACAAAGTTTTCAAAATTACACTTGTGATACGTGTGCCGAAAATCAATATTTTGTCCCTTTTATGCGAATCGATTAATATTGTAGTTTAACATCGAATAAATGAAGGTTAAATAGTTAGAATTTTCACTTTTTTGAGTCAGTTTATCTATTAGTTTCATATAATTTATTTTTTCCCACTGTAGAATTTGATTAAAGCATGAACAATGGACGTGAAAAAATAACAGGAATTCATTTATTAATTATCTTTTTGTCTGCTTACACCATGGAAATAATAGTTACAACTATTTAAAACCAATGCACCTACTTCATATCATACTAACGAAAATCCATAGAATAATGCCATTATGTATGGAAGAATTATATAATGTTAAAGTTCATGGACATTGATATCTAAAACATTTTAAAACACAGTAACAGGTTTTTACGAAGTAAAATTTGTTATCAGAATCACGTAATATCAACCGTAAACTTGGATACATTAAGAATGAGTTAACATAATAATAGAGAAAATAAATTTATACATAAGAGCATAAAATATCACGTTGTTGAACAGTGGAAAATATAATTTGCCAGGAAAACACAACTGATTCCTGTCAAATATATGCGTTGGTTCCTAAGAATTTTCCACTTTTTCAAAATCCCTCAAACACCCTGGTACGGGCAAGAGTGGGGAGAGTCTGCTCTCCCTTTCGAAACGCTCTCACATGGCCACGCGTATACAGCCATTTCCAAGGAAGTCCTCATTTATTCATTTAAACACACATTAGTGCAAAGAAGCATCAAATAGATATGCGCGACATTAATCATTCGACTTTTGTGAGGATTGGGATATTGCCCGGGTGTCAAAACCGAAGCAGGTGGTTTTCTTAGGGAGCCACACCCTCAGCCTTTGACATAAAGGTGTGATCCACAAGGGAGTGGGGCAACGTCAGGAAATGCAGTCCCATGGTAGCCGGTGATCAACGGTTGGTTCATACGACATTTGTTCCTCCAGGATCCTGAAGCCCATGTGCACCATTGTTTTGGAATCAGGGTTTTCCAACTCCCCTAGGTGGAGTCTCCGTGTCTACCAACCCGATTAGAGCGCCAGACATTCGCTCATATAATAGACGGTGGAATAGAATGTAATACGTAGTTCAGATTTACTTAATAATGATTAGTTGCCACGAGACAGTGATAAATCTTCCGTTTGGACGTCTGAATCCGTTTCCCAAGCTCTCCTAATAACTCAGGCTAACTATACACGATAACTTGAACACAAGAGAAGAGGTGCGAAAGTTTGTTTATGTACATCGGGAATGTTCTAGAGCCCTACTAAACATAGTAGCAAGATAGGCAATCATCCAGTCAGGACTGTGACATGACTACACTTCCTAGATCTTTCTGAGAAACTTCTGTTCAGTGCTGGTTGGATAAAATATTTCTCAGAGTTTTTTGGTCCTGTGGGCTTTTTCGGTCGAGTTTTCTGGGTCTCCTCGATAGACAGCCAATTGTATCCCATCTCTCCCATTAATATTCTTTGGATTTCCCCATATGTGTAAGAAATAAAACCTTTTTGGAAGATTAATTTGCCACTGAAATCAATTGTATGGCCAGACTCTATTGAGTGTAATGCTATAGTTGACTTGTATTTTAATTATTTCTCCAGGTCTTCTGTGGATATAGGAATGCACTTCTTATACTGTGGTGATTTAAGATTCTCCTGATCTCTTCTAAAGTTTCTTTACGATATGGGATCTTTCGCTTTATCTTTTTGGTCTTAACTATTCTTTTTATAAAGTCTCCAGGATAATTATTCACCATCAAAGTAGTGATGACTAAATTCGTTTTGTCTCCTAATTCAGTGACGAGCTCTTGAAGTCTGTTTATCACATACTTGGTCACTGTCACCTTGGAGTGCGCATTTGTTGACGTGTAATCTATAAATTTCCCAGAATAAGTTGCCTTCCTGAATATATTAGGTTTTTGACCAATCATTTTGTTTCCTTTCAATCAAACAGTCTAGAAAATGTAATTTGTGGCCGGCGGACCCCATATCCTTAGTGAATTTGATGTTCTCAGATATACTTCTGACTTTTTTAAACAGTTCGTCTAATCCATCTCGTTTTATGGTATCGACAGTATCATCTACGTACCTCAACCAGATTTTTAGTGAAAGGTGACACTTTGAGACTGCAGTTCCAATGAATGAATGAATTAGTTAGCAACAATTGCAGAAAATGGTGATCCCATAGCTGCACCTGTTCGCTTGTACAAGTTTCCTCGAAAACCGAGAACGATTAGATATAAGCATAGATCCAGAGCTTTAGTAACGTCTGAGAGACCTGATGAGCATCATCGCTTTAGTTCAGTGTCAGAATCCATGGGATTATATACAAAGTCGAAATCCTTCGTAATAGGAACATTGGTGAACGAAGAGCAAACATCAAAGCCTGCTACTAATCTATCTTCTTCCGTATAGATAGCAGTAATGAAATGGTTACTTAACTAGATTAGCAAAAAACGCTAGAACTTCTTAAAACTATAACTGAGTATTTGAAAATCACATATCTAATAAAAAATAATCACTAAATATATACATTCTCCCCCAAGTTTTTACAGCTGACCTTAAACTATAGTTAAAGTGGTTTAGCAGACTAATTACTTCTTTAATAGCTACCCCAATCGAATAGTTTAGTTTGTTGTGGTGTTATTGTTTTATAATGTGTGTGTGTGTGTGTAAATATGAACCACTGAGACTGCCTATACTAAAAGGAAACAACTGTCTAATGTCTCAGTTTCCTATAGTTCATTTGGTCCTAGTCGTAGTAGTGCTAATCCTCTTCAAACGTCATCGGGTTTTAATAGTTAACATTATATCATTTTGGCACAACTTTAGCCAAAAATTTAGCAAGATGATTTGCTTGCATATCTGCTGCTATAATAAATCAATAACATGTGCGTGAATTACGTGTATCTATCTTCTAGTACCTTTAAAATTCATCAATACGCATGATACAGAAATTCTTTAAGAAACCTTGTGTCAAAGCGATGATGTACAAACCAGACACAAGATGACTCATATAGGTGTTTATTAAGACAGCACTCGAATATACAAATTGGTTTATAGTATATATTTATGTATATGTGTGGTTACCTACTTGTTTGTGCATATCTTAATGATGATATTCTAGGTAGCAACTAATTCTTGACAGGTATTCAATCTTCATCATCGTACGTTTGTTCCGGAAATAGAAACAAAATTGTAGTGTTGAAGCAAAAGAAAGTTATTCAAATAACCTAACATTCTTATGGAATTAAATGTTACCTTACTTGTAAACTGTAATATAATAATAGTAATCTATATATATAATGTAGAGTTTAATATGAAAGTTCTTTTTTATAATTCCATTTGTGCCTTAAGTGTAATCGCCAAAAATCAAGTAGCGTTTCCTGATAAGTTTTGTAATTATGTAAAAATGTCTAACAATCAATCATGGGGATTTACTAGCGTTATAACAGTTTTCTCCTCACTTTAGAAGAAATTAATACATGTAATTCTATGGTCATACTGTCATATGAAAATTACGAAATAAAATATCAAATAATTTTAATACTGTAATCTAATACCCACAGTGTAGAATCGGTCAGTATAAATCAGTTATCACTAAAACTGTAAAATACTCAACACCAATTATATCCTGTTTAAAAATTTAGTTTTAAAATAGTCCGATAGGAATCAAATCAAGATAAAACTGTCAAAGAAGTAATTTCTTCGATTGTGGCCTCGAACAATTTGATATGATGCTATTCGCTCCTATAATATAATGCTCAGATAAATTCAGAATTCATGGCATTTCATTAGAGAGTAGGGTGATTATTGCATAAAACTATAATAATAAAAAAAGATTGGACATATTCATAAGAAGTTAAGATGTAATATCTTCTTGATAGACTTAAAAAACAGATTTATTTGCTCTCAATTCTCGTTGTTTCGGTACGGTTCTGGATCTTTGGTCATGTCCACTGGCTCATTACTGAGTAGCTCACAGAATTTACAGTCAGTGGAAATAAATCTTCGAACACTCATCAGTTTTCTCTCCACTATTGATGTATGAACACAGCTGATACGTTGACGTGGTGGTTGGACTTGCCTGTCATGATGGCTCAATCAACCAACTAGACTTAAACCCAACAATCCCTGAACTTCACTTAAAATAATTGAGGTAGGATTTAGCTCTTTCGCTGTAAGACTGACGTGTGCTCCACTGTAGTCACCTCACATAACTTCGAAAGAATTAGGTTACATGAAGGTATTGAAACTGACTTTTTCATCAGAATCATCCATATACCTCGAGTGTGCTAATGATCAGACGCTGCATCGTCAAAACACCAAGGACTGTAAGAAGTAAACAACTATCCAGTCGATTGGTTTAACTCGACTGGTTTTGTGTAAGTGTTTGACTAGTTGTTAGATGCCTGTTCCTTAAACTTCTGATATCAAGTCAGAAGTTAAGAATTCTACTGCTCTTTGGGCATAGGCTCCCGATCAGGAGTGTCCTGACAACTCCAATTCCCTCTCCAAAACAATGAGAATTCGGAAAGACGAGTATGATGGTATTAAAAAGCTAAATTACATTATTTTTCTCATTGTGATTATTATTCAACATTGCTTCCGTTTTAATTCAATGTGATAATTACTCAATGTAGTATTTGTTATGCTTTTTTGTATGGTATTTTATTCTGTAGAACATTAATTTGAGTGTGACGTTTGTTCAAGATACGATAATCTTGCATTAAATTAACATGAACTGTGATCAGCATGACATGTAGCATGTGATTTGTTATATCTGTCAGTGTTTTTACCTTATGTGATTTCATCCTAATTAATAATGAAAATGGGTTTAGCATCAATATTCTATTTATTTATTTGAACACATAGATATTGGTACAAGGAGGCACGAAATGCATTTTCGTCACACAAATCTCATTCGAGAACAATAAAAATTCGGATACATTGTTGTGTCTTGTGACTGCAGCTTAGATGCGCAGTGTATTTACCGATCGTATCAATGACACGAAAGAACGACCTAGAGTCCCTATTGGCCCTACTTCTCTGTCTAGCCCAGCCAGTTGAGTCCAGAACACAAGTCTCAGCCTCTGAGACATCAATCGTTATATTCAAAACATACTCTATTTATATACCAACCAAACAGACCACATCGTACCATAAAATAGAAAACAACATTTGTACAATATTTAACAAGTGAAACAAATATTGACCAATAGGGAATGACCTTTTAAAGTCCAAGAACACCGTTAGACTTAACATGATAATTATTGGTATATTTTTTCGAATATCTTAACATTCATACCTTTCCCTCATCGTTGTCTCTCCCTA